GGGCAGAAAACCGCCGCGCGCCTCGGGGCGCACGGCGGGCTGAAAAACCCTAATTTCGACGCCGCGCACCACGGGGCGCGCGGCGGACAGGGAGTAGCAGTAGCAGCGGAAGCAGTGAGGTGGGGCCCACAGGCCAGGAGCATATCGCTCTAATACCATGTGAAAGTAAGCAGTAGAAGAAGGCGCCATAGCTAGGAAAGCCCTAGCTAGGCAAGAAACAGTTTAGGCAAAGAAGGAGGAGTTGCACTAGCAAGAATGAGGATACAAATAGCAAACCCTAGAAGGGTTGTACTCGCTATAGAGCACCCCACTACAGGCTAGAGCATAATATTCTGACAAAAGAATGAATGTATCGCGAAACTTGGCGACCAGGCGAAATGCACAGTTGGGCGCGTTTGATTGGGTGATAGAAATGACTGTACACCCGTGTCTTCAACCGCTTGGCTGGGGTATGGCCCGCGCGAAATTGGCATTGCAGGCAGACCAGGTGCATTGACATTCCAAACCGCATGCGATTTTAAAACAATGACGAGTCGGTTTGCGATTCATCAGCGACGTCAACGCGTTTCACGTTGACCAATGAAAAATACAGTAAAAATCGCACTAGGGCGATTGGGGTTGAAGACATTGTACGTTATATGGTGTTTTCACGCGTCACAAACGCTTTGAGACATAAATGTCGACGCAGGAATGTACCCTTAGACTTTGACATGTACTGATTCTGTACTGGATGTGTTACACACGTGGACGTGGCCCTGGCGGCGCACCTTGCGGAGCAGACGCGGATGCGCCTCACCCAACGCTACCTCCGTGTCCCCGAAGGACACACATTCGGCTATGGCGACAAGATGCATCTGCCAGCCTTCATCGCTGCACATGGGAAGGCAGACAAGCGGAAGATGCGCGTGGAAGGGGTCGATAGTGAGGGGACCCCAGCCTCTCATGTGTACGAGCTGCACGAGCGAGATCTGCTCGGTCATGACTCGGACAGGGACGCGACGGCGTACTACGAGCTGTCCATCAAGTTTGTGCGGGCGGTTGAGCACCACCTCGAGAAGCGCCTGCGGGATTTATCTAACCTCGACGGCTCAAAGCTTTTCATGTCATTAAAGTACCTTCACGATGATGACAAGCGTGTCGCGGCCTTCAAGCGCTGGCTGAAGCAGCTCCATGTGCTCTTCCGCAAGTCTCTGCCCAGTTTGTGCCCGTCTCGTCTTATGATATTTGATGTTGTTATGCACACTCATGAATGTCAGATCTAGTTGTTGTAGCTTGCACGTGGCCTGCTTCACATGACTTGTTCTCTTGTTAAATCCACAACATCTTCCCCCCCCTCCCCTCCCCTCCCCACGTTAATCTGCCGCCTTCTACTCCTTTGAGAATCCCGTCCCTTATGCCTCAGGCTTCAACTACACGAACGCTGACACTGAGCTTTGGATGTTTACCTTGACTATGCATTCCCAACACCACGATGAAGATCTCCATCAGGCGCTCAGCCACACTCTGCGCGACAACCAGTGGCAGCGCAACTACCCCAGCATCATGCTCCTGTGGCAAGCTGTCGCTGTGCTACCTCTAAGCACAGTGGAGTGCGAGAGGGGGTTCAGCAAGCAAAACATTATCAAAACGTGGGGGCGAGGGAGCATCTCAGACACGTCATTGGGACACCTTATGCGCTGCTCTCTCCTCGAGTACACCACGGACTGGTTTGATGTCGCACGGCTCTTCCGTGGCGACAGAGGCAGGCTGCCAATACGAGACTTCATTGGCACCAACCCAAGTGACACACAGTTTAACCCTCCAGCAGTCCCTGACACAACTGCAAGTGTATAGGAGGCGGGACCCGATAATGTGTGAAGTGGTTATGCCTGGTTAGTTGTGGTTTATCTAGAGTAGCACGTAGGGAAAGTATGTGCCTTTTGAAATCAGTTTTTGCACTTGCAATCGGCTATTTTAAAAAATACCCTTACACACATGCTACTGGCCAAAACACATTTATTTGCATTGGGGTTTTTTTTTTTTGCCCTAATTGTCAGTCTAAGGAGCCTAGGGGACCCTGATATGGCAGGGTCCCCCAAAACCAATGTTGGGCCCTATAACTTCCTCTCTATCTGGTCGAACCCGAGAACTTTCACAAAAACCTCAAGAAGCCTTAGGGAGGGTTGAGTTACGGTAACCACCCCGCCCTAATGAATCAGTTACTACCGTAGTGTTTTGCTTGTACAGTTGTCTTGTAACTATATGTTTTCCCTAAAATAATAAAATTGTCAAATTGTATATTTGTGTTCTATCTAGGCTATAGTGGGTTAGCCTACAAGGAGTACAACACTTTAGGGTTAGTACTTGTACCCAACTCATTCATAGTTCATTCATTCCTTCACAGTTGATTCTGAAATGGTATCAGAGCAGGAAACCTGTTAGGTTTTTCGGGCCCACTGATCGTTCCGCTAGTTCGTGCCTGAAGCGCCCTTGCGCTGACTGGCCCTCTTGCACAGTGTCACGCTGCCCTGCAGCTACTCGCACTGCCTGCCCTAGCGCGCTGACCTGCTGTCACGCGCACCCCTGCTGCCCGCGAGGAGCCCCTGCCCCGAGCGCCCCTGCTGCCCGCGTGTAGCCCCTGCCCCGCGCTTCCCTGCTGCCCGTGAGCAGCCCCTGCCCCGCGCGCCACTGCTGCCCGCGAGCAGCCCCTGCCCCAAGCGCCCCTGCTGCCCGCGAGCAGCCCCTGCCCTGTGCGCCCCTTCTGCCCGCGAGCAGCCCCGCAGCCCAGCGCGCCCCGCAGCCCTAAATGCGCCAGCGCGCCCCGCAGCCCAGCGCGCCAGTGCTCCCCGCTGCTAAGCGCACCAGCGCGCCCGGCAACCTTGCTGCCCAGCAAAAAAAAAGCCCTAGCGGGCCCTGCTGCCCAGCGTGCTGCTGTTGCACACGCTGCTACTGCTGCGCTGTGCCCTGTCGAGCAGTGCTGCTCAGCGCGAGCCGCGCCGCTCTGCCCGAGCCACGCTGCCCTGCCCCTACTGTCCTACTGTTGCTTCAACTACTACTGCTGCTCATGATGCCACTGCTGGCACTACTGCTGTTACTGCGCTAGCCTGTGCCCTGCTGCCCACGTACTCTACTGACCTCCACAGTCACTTCAACAGCCGCTACTACTGCCCTTTCGCCGCTGCTACTGACTGCCACTGCCTGTCATGGCCACTATCACGGTAGTCGCAGCGGCTAAGGGTGGACAGCAGCAGCCACTGCCTCTCCCAGACACGCTATCCCCGCAGCAGCGAGTGGGTTATTCAGCGAGCCCGTCCAAGTGGTGGAGGCTTCGGTTTTCTGCGTACTGCACAGCGGCGGCAGCAGAGTCAGCAGGAGACCTTCTCTCCGCAGCTGCTTAGTGAGTTGGTTTCTCTGCAATGTGTCCCTGGTTCTGTAGAGGCTGCTGCTCTAGATGCTAATTAGTCTGCTGCCGCTCCAGGTGCTAGTGAGTCTACTGCAGCTTTAGGTGCTCGTGCGTCTACTTCCACAGGTCCTGCCTCAGCTGAGGCCTTGCACACTTCCACACATGTTCGTGCTCGTCGTGTCGCCCATCCTCGTCCCCCTGCTGTCCCAAGCACTCACAGTATGGCACTTCGTCCTTCATCTGTTCCACAGCGTGTTGCCCTGCCTGAGCCTCCCACGTCCTCTCTTCCGCACGTTACTGACCTTGAGAACGACCTTGCTCGTGTTGCCAGTCCTACTGTCACTCGTCTCCTCGCTACTGTTGTCACTGACCCTGACTTTGAGTCTACTGCTGAGTTAGCCCTAGTCACTGAGCTAATCGACTTTGCAGCTAGGAGTCGTCTCGACTATGTCGCGAGTCTTGTTACTGAGTCTGAGTCTATCTGTCCTTCGTCCGTCGGGGGTGAGCCTGCTTTTAGCTGTGACGTCCTTGAGGACAGGCAGTTTGAGCTTGAGTGTCTTGCGGCCGCTTTACCTCGTTTTGCATCCATGCTGCTTTGCCCTGAGGGAGACCCGGATGCACTTCGCATCCCTACCCCGCGCTCTAATGCTGAGGTGATCGCGGGTGAGTACTCCTCTCCGTGGCAGACCTCCATTGACGCAGAGATGGCTTCCTGGAAGTCCACAGGCACCTACCTCGACGAGGTTCTTCCTCCTGGTGCGAACATAGTCAACCGCCGGGTTCTCCGCCTGCCTTCAAAGTGAGTTACGTTGCTCGAGGCTTCAAACAGCGACAGCGGGTCGACTTCTTCCAGACCTTCTCCCCCACCCCGAAGATGACTACTCTTCGGGTGTTGCTGCACGTTGCAGCACAGCGTATGTACGAGCTGCACTCCCTCGACTTCTTCAGAGCTTTCTTGTGTTGCACCTCCAGTATGTTTGTGTTCTCTCAAGACTATAGAGGGTTAGCCTACAAGGTGTGCAACACTTAAGGGTTAGTACTTGTACCCAACTCATTCATATTTCATTCATTCCTGCACAGTAGATTCCAACAAAAATATAGCCAGAAGTCAGCTTTCGTCACATAAATTAGGTAGCTCCAACGATATATAAGTACGTAGGTGCAACATACAGTGCTTACACGGAAATGAGGGTCTTAAATGTTTGATATCAACGAAGGGTCCCCAACAGGTAGGACAAAAAAGCATTCGGCCCTCGAATGAAAGACCCCTAGGACACTTATATTGGTGGGTCATTTATCCCGGAAAATATGGTATCATGCATTCACATTCACAGCATACAATAGCGCTCCCACTTTCAATAAACATGGGAAGTGAGCAAGTGTGTTTCCCCGAGCGGAACAACTGGAAAAAAAGCCTTTCACGCAGAATATCACGATGCGAAAGAACAAAACACGATGCTATGCTATGCATATGAGTACAAACAAGGGGGCACACATTACAGGGGGCTAACACACTAATGAGATTGCTACTTGCTGTCAAGCAGCAGCACATCTCCTCCACCATTGGGAGCCAGGCCAGCCTATTTTCCATCCTCCCATTCCTCCCCCACCAGCAGAATTACTCCTCTGGGGCGTCCTCTGCATACAGGCAAGAAACAGGGAGAAGCGGGCAAAGCGGGAGGGACGAGGGGGAGCGGGGGAAGGTGGGGCACTTACTAACGTTTGACCCTGATCAACCAGTGGAGAGGAATGCAAGAGAGAGTCAAAAGAGAAAAGACAGGCAGCACTGTTACTGGAGAGAAATACAGAAGAGAGTGTAAAGAGAAGGAGCGGGAGTGTAATGAAGGAGAGAGAAGCAGCGTACGCACCAGTGGCACAGCGAGCAGACTTCACTGATGAGGCAATCGCCTTCGACCTGCCCACGTGGGAGGGTCATGCAAGGGGGCGCAATGAGGCGCAGCAGTGGGTAAGTCAGGGAGGGGAGGAGTGTGTGGGTGGGAGAGTGAGTGAGTGTGAGCGAGAATGTGTGTCTGTGTGTGTCCTTCGCACTCCCCCTCGCTGCCCTTGCCCCACTCACCCCTGTGTGCCCCACTCACCCCTGTGTGCCCAACTCATCCCTGTGTGCCCAACTCACCCCTGTGTGCCCAACTCACCCCTTGCCCTTCACGAGAGTGTCCACGGCCGTTCCCTTGCAGTCCGGCGCAGCAAAGAACTGAATCTCCTTGCATGCCGCCTTCCCCGCCTGCTGCCATGCCACCTGCACCTTCTTCTTCCCGCGCCCCGCCCCGCCCCGAATGGCGACACAGCGGGAGGAGGTGAAGGCAAAGGAGCGCCCCTGCACCTTCATCCTCGTACCCACCACCGCCACTCGGGTGCCACGGGTGCTGCCTTTGCCACGAGTGTTGCCTTTGCCAGGGGTGCTGACATTGCCACGGGTATTGCCTTTGCCACGGGTGTTGCCTTTGCCTGGGGTGCTGCCTTTGCCACGGGTGTTGCCTTTGCCTGGGGTGCTGCCTTTGCCACGGGTGTTGCCTTTGCCTGGGGTGCTGCCTTTGCCATGGGTGCTGTCTTCGCCAGGGGTGCTGTCTTCGCCGGCGGTGTTCTCATCGCCAGGGTTGTTCTCATCGCCAGAGGTGCTGTCTTCGCCAGGGGTGCTGTCTTCGTCAGGGGTGCTGTCTCCCTCGTTTCCCGCCTCCTTCACAGCCTCCCCGCCCGCCTCCTTCACTGCCTCGCCGCCCGCCTCCTTCACTGCCTCGCCGCCCGCCTCCTTCACTGCCTCGCCGCCCGCCTCCTTCACTGCCTCGCCGCCCGCCTCCTTCACTGCCTCGCCGCCCGCCTCCTTCACTGCTTCGCCGCCCGCCTCCTTCACTGCCTCGCCGCCCGCCTCCTTCACTGCCTCGCCGCCCGCCTCCTTCACTGCCTCGCCGCCCGCCTCCTTCACTGCCTCGCCGCCCGCCTCCTTCACTGCCTCGCCGCCCGCCTCCGTTGCTTTCTCAGATAGGACATTGCTGGCCGCGTCTGCTGCCTGCTTGTTGCTGTCAGGCAGGACATTGCTGGCCGCGTCTGCTGCCTGCTTGTTGCTGTCAGGCAGGACATTGCTGGCCGCGTCTGCTGCCTGCTTGTTGCTGTCAGGCAGGACATTGCTGGCCGCGTCTGCTGCCTGCTTGTTGCTGTCAGGCAGGACATTGCTGGCCGCGTCGGCTGCCTGCTTGTTGCTGTCAGGCAGGACATTGCTGGCCGCGTCTGCTGCCTGCTTGTTGCTGTCAGGCAGGACATTGCTGGCCGCGTCTGCTGCCTGCTTGTTGCTGTCAGGCAGGACATTGCTGCCCGCGTCTGCTGCCTGCTTGTTGCTGTCAGGCAGGACATTGCTGCCCGCGTCTGCTGCCTGCTTGTTGCTGTCAGGCAGGACATTGCTGGCCGCGTCTGCTGCCTGCTTGTTGCTGTCAGGCAGGACATAGCTGGCCGCGTCTGCTGCCTGCTTGTTGCTGTCAGGCAGGACATTGCTGGCCGCGTCTGCTGCCTGCTTGTTGCTGTCAGGCAGGACATTGCTGGCCGCGTCTGCTGCCTGCTTGTTGCTGTCAGGCAGAACATTGCTGGCCGCGTCTGCTGCCTGCTTGTTGCTGTCAGGCAGGACATTGCTGACCGCGTCTGCTGCCTGCTTGTTGCTGTCAGGCAGGACATTGCTGGCCGCGTCTGCTGCCTGCTTGTTGCTGTCAGGCAGAACATTGCTGGCCGCGTCTGCTGCCTGCTTGTTGCTGTCAGGCAGGACATTGCTGGCCGCGTCTGCTGCCTGCTTGTTGCTGTCAGGCAGGACATTGCTGGTCGCGTCTGCTGCCTGCTTGTTGCTGTCAGGCAGGACATTGCTGGCCGCTTCTGTTGCTTCGTTGGTGCTCGTGTCGACTAATGGATCGCTGCCCATGACTAGGTGAGCTGCGAGGGGGGTACAGAAGAGGAACAAACGAAAAGAGGGTGCGCTTGTTTGCACTTTTGAGAGTGTGCGAGCAGGGGTCTGTGAGTGTGAACTGACTGCCATGGGCTGAAAGCATCAAAGTTGTGGTACTCGCCGCACAGAAGGCTCAAGGCGTGTTGACAAAGACGCATAGCACGGGGGGCACGGAGGGTGCAAGGCGCGTTGACGAAGCATGGAAGGAAAAGAGCCTCTTTTTCTCAGAACAGGAGGGGAAGAAGACGTGTTGACAACACGCGTGGGATGAGAAAAGCAGGAGGCGCAGGGGCAAGGCGTACCGGTGAAGAGCGCGACGAGGAAGATGCGAATCACGACCGTCGCACTCCCCATATTCCGCATCCTCGGTGGAGTCCCCATCAGCCGCGCAGCACGCACGTAAGATCACGGAGAGCGAGGGGAGAGGGCAGTGGAGTGACGTGCTACAAGCGCGCTGACGGTGGGAGAGCAAAAGGAGAGGAGCTTCGTTTGGAAGCTCGGCTTGAAAGCTTCGCCGTTTGAAGGGAAGCGGCTGCGATGGACTCTGCTGCTCATCGCTGCTGCTCTCGTCTCCGTTTATACCTGATCGCCTCTCCAACCTCGCCTCACCCATCACTCGCATCGCGTCACACCCTCCGAACCTCTTGTGGTGCATGGGAAATATCCGAGCCGCCTGAACCACCGCGGTCAAGCAGCGCGACGAACGCTGCGACGAGGCACGCTGCGACGAGGCTTAGTGGAATGGCAGAGGCGATGAGGTGAGTAGCCTTCTCTGCTGCACGCAAGCGTCGCTAGTCTAGCGACGAGGTTGTATGAGCGCTAACAAACGCGTTCCCATGCGCCCGGGAAGGTCGCCATTGGCGTGCGACGATCCCCAGAACATTCGCAATTCGCTACTCGCAGCTACTAGTAGCGGAAAACACTAGGCCGTGGCGAAGAGGATTTTAGATATTGCAAGGAACGCGGTCATGGTTAGTGCGACTCCTCCGTGCGGTACATTCCAGCCCGACTTCTGGTTCCACACACTAGATGGATTCGTTGGCCCCGTTCGCCAGAACGCCTTGTGGATATGGAATGAGATCGGGTTGATCGCAGAGATGCGCATGCGACGATGCGGTCAAACGGAAGGAATAATGGAATGTAAGGTTTGGTGGTTTATTGGTTGGTCAAGTTCTTTCACTGCAATAATGTCTAGGTATTCATTCTGGTGTGGAACGATTTGAGGCGGTTGATTTTATGTCCGACTATAGAAGTTGTTTATCGTACTTACCGCGTCAAACCAGCCTGGTTCGAAGTTGGGTTGACCCCCTGAAAACTATTTGTTTGAACGCGTGTGACCCTTCCAGGAGGTTGATTCGTTTGAAACATGATGTTAGGAGATGTTTGAAACATGATGAGTTATAGTCTCACTTACTGTACTATCTAGCGATTAGAACTATGCTTGAACTGCAATAGATGTGACTTGACAACTGCAGATCAATTACATCTAATAAATTGACTCCTGACACGAGCCCAAACTTGCACCACGCCGGATGTGTTACAATAACGAAATGTTACATAATAATTCAGAAAGTATTACAATCCTGAATAGGACTTAGCCAGGGATCGGCTCAAGGTTGATCGCAGGTGATTTGTTGCAGCGGAAGTGTTTTGTCACAATAGTAGGCAGAAAGAGGAGCCATGGCTAGGGTTTAGCTAGCTAGGCAAGAGAAAATAGGCAAAGGGAGGGGTTCCACTAGCAAGCAGGTGGATACATATAGGAAACCCTAAGGGGCCGTACTCACTATAGAGTACCCCACTGCAGGCTAGACAAACTACACATTCTGACATGTTTGAACTCAGATTAGAGGGTAATATAGATGACTGAGGTAACAAAAGCAAGCATATATCGTGTTGCTCATTCATGACCGTCGATCGGCAGGGTTAGCGGCGTGATCTGCGTCCACGTAGCTGTTGAGGTTGAAGGACGTTGTTTTCAGCGTGGAGTGAGAGAGGCTGATGTCAGGCGTGGAGATGAAGTACTGTAGGGCGCGCTCTAGGTCCAGGTAGTTCTCTGCTCCTGGCTTGCGTAAGCACTGTGCCAGTTGGCTGGCAATGTATGAAAGGTCGGGTTGGCAGGTGATAGAGGTGAACAGCAGGCACCCTAGCTGGTGCTGATAAAGTTGGAGTCCTACGGGCAACAGGGGTTTGTTGTCCGGTTTGTAGTTTGCTCTGGGTGTGCGGTAGAGGATTGAGAGTGGTGCGGGTTAAATTTTGAGGTGTTCGCCCACCTGCTCCGCATACTTAGAAGCTGACAGATAATTGCGTCTGGCACGTAGGTGATGTTCAGACCCAAAAATTGCGTGACCTTGTGGTTGATGGTAATCAAGACGCTGTGCCAGGTTCTGCTCGAACTGGTTAAGAAGTATGTTGCTAGTGCCGGTGTACAGTAGGTCGTCGACGTAGTTGGCGCTCTGGTTGTCGCAGCTGAGGCAAAAGCTCAGCGAAGTTGGAATTTTTGCCTACTGCAGGAGCTCTTGCAAATAGAGTCCTTCGCGAACTACAGCAGTTGAGGCGATGTACTCTGCTTCGGTTGACGACAGAGCAACCAGCTCCAGCTTGTGCGAGTTCCAGGATATTGGGCCCGTAGGTTCCAGGCGGAAGACGAAGCTGGTTCGTGACCGTCGATTGGCAGGTTTAGTGACGTGATTTGCGTTTATGTAACTATTAAGATTGAAGGACGTTGTTTTCAGCCTGAAGTACTGTAAGTGTAAGCAACCTAGTAAGTGTAAGCATGCAGGTATATGTATATAGATCACAGTACAGACAAAGTCAAGAAGTGAACAAGTGAGGCAAAGTAGGCACAAGGCCTAGAACAGTACAGAAACGCTGATGATCACAAGGCTGAAGTGCCTTAGTGAAGATATCAGCAGTGTTGCCCTGAGAGGCCACGTAAACAAGACAAAGCTGACCACACTGCTGCAACTCTCAAGCAAGGAAGTAGCGTAGAGCGATGTGCTTCGTCCTGTGCTCCAGTCTATTCTCCTGACACAAGGCAATCATGGCCTTGTTGTCGACGTACAGAACTGGAGGAGAACGAGGCGGCTCTCCCAAGTCGGTCAGCAGGTAGGTGAGCCACAGTAACTCCTGTGTAGCCATGGCCTCACAACTAGAGATGAGAACAGAAGACGAGCGGGTAGACCGCCACGAAATAGAGCTGGAGCCAAGGCTGAAGGTGTAACCCTGTAACGACCGCTGCGTAGCCAAGTCGTCAACCCAAGAAGCGTATGCGTGACTAGTGAGGACAACTCGAGCCCGTCCTCCAAGCACGAGCCCCATGCCCGACATACTACACAAGTAGCGCAACACCCTCTTAGCGGCATCCATATGCTCCTTCCGGTGTCTCCCAGGAGCAACATAGCGTGCTAGGATGCTAAGAGGGTATGCCAGGTCAGGTCGAGTGCAGGTCATCAGGTACATGAGCCAGCTCACAAGCTCTAGATACGGGCCACTCGGCTCTACGGACTCATCCGAAGGCAGAGCTGAGAGCGAGTGACCGGTAGGCAGAGGAGTGGACTGTGGCGAGGAACACTGGAAGTCGAAGCGCTGAAGGACCTGCTGCACCATGTGTGACTGAGTCAAGGTAATGGTGTGCTGTGCTCTGTCCCGAGTGATCTGCAAGCCAAGATAGCTGCGCAGCTCACCCAGGTCTGTGCACGTGTGTCTCTTCTGCAGCTCCGACTTCACGTGGGCCAGTCCAACAGTGTCAGCAGTGGCAAAGACTAAGTCGCCGACGTACACGAGGATGTAGAACGGCGGCAGCGAAGTGTCGGTGCGTAGAAACAGCAACGGGTCAGCAATCGAAGGAGCAAACCTAAGAGCCGCAAGCGTAGTCCTCAGTGTGTCGTGCCATTCACGAGGCGCCTGTCGGAGACCGTAGACTGGCCGCCGGAGGCTCCACTGGGTACCAGGAGGAAACGACCCAGTGAAGCCAGGTGGGCGGCGCAGCCAGATCTCCTCGTGCAGGCTGCCCTGTAGGAAAGCTGTGCCGAAATCAAGGGAGTGAAGCTGGTAGTCACGCTGAGCGGCGACGTGCAGCAGAACCCGAAGAGTGATCATCTTCGGGGTCGGGGAGAAGGTCTGGAAGAAGCCTCGTGCAACGTAACGCGCCTTGAAGATAGGCGGAGAACCCGGCGGCCGCTTCACCTTGAAAATCCACATACCACTGACGATGTTCGCCCCTGGAGGGGGAACCTCGTCGACGTAAGTGCCTGTGGACTTCAAGGAAGCCATCTCTGCGTCCATGGCTGACTGCCACTGAGAGGAGTAGGGACCCTCTATCGCCTCTGCGTAAGAGCGCGGGGTCGGGATGTCTGGTGCATCCGGGTCTCCCTCAGGTGCAATCAGCATGAGGTACAGCAGCTGCAAAATACTCAAAGTCCTCTTGCCTGTCCTCAAGGACGTCCGTGCCAAGAGCACACTCACCCCCGACGGACGGAGGATAGATAGACTCTAACTCAGCAACAAGACTAGCGGCGTAGTCGAGACGACAGCGAGCAGCAAAGTCGACAAGCTCAGCAACTAAGGCAGACGTAGCAGTGGACTCAAAGGAGGGTCAGTGCCACCAGTAGCTAGCAGACGCGTGATAGTAGGGCTGGCAGCACGAAGTGAGTCAGACTCCGGGTCCGGACCGTCAGTAAGGGAGGACGCAGGAGGAGAGGGCAGAGGGACACGCAGTGGAACAGAGGAAGGACGAAGTGCCATCTGGTGCGTGCCATCTGACGCGGAACACGACGACTTGTGCGAACAGCGCGAACAGGCGACGCAGGATAAGACGCAGGCTCACAACGCTCTGTAAGACCTCCGGGCTGCAAAGTGTAGGGAGAAGGAGCCGGCAGTGGGGAGGCTGGCAGTAGCTGCGACTGTGACAGTTCAGGTGGTGGACACAGTAAGGGAGGAGTAAGCCAGTAGAAGGCGGGAGACCAAGAACCTGCTGAAGCAGTGGAAC